AAATCCCATATTCATTTTTTTTTTTTTAGAGTTTTGTTCTGCAGTTTAGAAAACTTACATTCTACATTCTACAGATCTGCTTGTTGATATTTTTCTGTCAGATTTTAAATGTTGTTCAAGTCCCCATAGAAGAAATTCTTCCTGTTCTGTCTGACACCTATCACAAGTGAGGGCAAAGATCCTTCATGAAGGTATTGATTACAATAAAATCCTGAGAGAGATTCTAAATTTGCCACTTGTTAAATAAATAAAAAGTATGGCTCCTTTCACTTTCACTCAGATAAGAAATAAAGAGAACGGGGACAAGACCACAATAACATCCTGACAAAGGCCCTTTTCCTTCCTTAGGCCTCATTTACACTTGTGAATGGGGCTGTTATGGATTACAAGTGAGGGTTCTCAGCGATTAACTGTGGAAGACAGCCCCATTGAAAGCAATGGGAGACTGACAGCTCCCACAGGCAATCATGGACGCTCGCATGTAATCGCTCATGGAGTGATTACCTGCAAAGATCAGTTCTGGAATCAGACAGTCTTCATCAAGAGCTGATCACTTCAGGTAATCGCCCCATAAATGATTATATGCAAGCAACTGTGATTAACAATGGGAGCTTTCAGCTTCCCATTATTTTCAAGCTAATCGCCAGGAACTGCCGCTAAGTCTCCCACATGTAATCAGAATCAGCCCCATTTGAAAGTGTGAATGAGGAGTAACTCTGTATTTATAGCCAGGACTGCTGTTAGAAACCATGAGGCCCCGTACAGCCAACCTGACAGCCCCCTCCCCCCCCCAAAAAAAAAAAATTACTGCTAGTTTATATTATTATTATGGTATTGATCACTCGTTGTGTTCATTCAGAAATGAAAGGGCTGATAAATGTGACATATTTCCCAGACACTTCCTCCACTCTCAATCCTGAAGGATCCTATTGTGCGCTTGCAGTTGCCAGGGGGAAGGAGAGGAGGGAAGCTGGCAGCATTGCGGAGGTAGGTGCACACAGGGTGTCCTGGCCAGCAGGGGGAAATGTATGGCGCACAGGGAGGGTGGTGGGTGCAGTGGGAGAGGTGGGCAATTACTGGAACCAATCCCCTGTATGGCTCTCTCTCCAGCAGTGGAAAGCCAGTCGTAGAGAGAAGAGAAGAAGCCATCTTCTGGAAAAAGAGCCATAAAGGGGATCGGTTCCAGTAAATGCACCCCCCCCTGCTGTGATGATCACCCTCCCTGCCCATATACTATTTACCCAGCTGCCTGGGCCCCCCTGCAGATGTGGACCCTGTACATGAGGACTGGCGGTACCCCTTTATCCACGGCCCTGTTTATAGCTGCCTGTCTACATTGGGAGGAGTTTCCCTTACTTCCTGTTCTGACATCCTCTAAATCAATAGTAAGTAGGGAGATTTTCCTTTACTTCCTGTTATGTGAGGAGAAATATCCTAAGTAATAAATGTTGGCAGAGGTTCTAATCCTTCCACACTTTATCAAAAGCTAAAGCTTAAAGAAAAAAAAAAAAGAAATGGTCTCTCATAATGCTCCTAGACTTCTTATTATCAGTAGTGTCACATTTTGACCTACAGAATGCATTTAATGAACCATAAAATAATGTTCTGGAGGATTAGTAGAACTGTACTGTTCAGGTAGTTGTTATCTTATCTACCAAGCCCTTATGAAGAATATTCCCCGCCAGATACACAGGGCAGTGACAATGCGGTGCATACGCATACACCAGCTAGAGCTGATAAAAATATCATAATAGGAGGAAAAAATTAAATTAGCGAGTCTCATGCTGCTTAAATGTGCTGTAACAATAGCAGAGAAGCTCACATCAGTTGATTGGTTCCTGATTTCATTAGGAAAACAGCCAATTCCTAATAAATTAGCATTGTCGTTCACAGCAGGAAATGTTCCCCTTTCTACATTGTTTTGCATCATTGACTTTCATGTAAGTACATGAAGGTATAACTCACAGGTCCAATTTAAAAAAAAAAAAAAAAGAGCAAACAGCAAGTCAGTTAATCACAGCGGCTAAATATTTTCTTACTGCACTGTGTTTCTATCTATATGGTGACCCACAGATAGTGAAAGATGAATTATGATCTTGCAGTCTCCTTGGAAAAACAAGGACAATTGAGATAAATTATAAGTAAACCCTAACAATCAACTATACCATTGAAAGCATTTTGATATATTTGTTTGATAAGTAAAAAAAAAAATAAAACATTTTGATCCTGCCAGAAATTATAAAGTAGTTGGCTGCAGAAGGGACTGTGTGAACACAACTAAGAACTACAAAGGCACCAGGATGTGTCATATTTGAGCCAGTATCTGAGTCCAGGAAGCAGATGCTGACCCTGGATAATTGCCCCTTAGGGCTTGTTCACACCAGCCCTATTGGGCTGGGCTGGGCTGTGGTGCTCTCCATAGTCCCAAAGCATAGACAAAAAAATCTGTCTTATGTCCTTTTACTTAATTTCTTGCCAACGCACTACACAAATATAGGAATGTTGCATTTTGGCACAGTGGTACAATGCATTGCAATTCACTGCTGTGCATAGAGTTATAGTAGAATTCTGGGATATAGCTAATGAATCTTAAAACTGCTCTCTCCCCCTTCCTAACACCTATACTATTTAACCTGTGGAAGAAAGATCTGTATACTTACCTATTTTCAGGCTGCTCCGGTCACGTGCTTAGCTCCCATGTTTCAGCTAGCAGCAGATACAGAGAAGAGGAGGGAGCGCTGAGAACGGAATTCTATGTGTGATGTCACCGCTCAGGCATTCCAGTCCTTGTTGAGCACTCTTCTTTCCCGAGCGAGAGGGAGCTGTTCATGTGACTGGACTGGATCAGAGCTACCAGAAATTAGGTAAGTATATAGATTCCTTCTTAGTTATATCTTGGAATTCTACTTTAAATGGAACCTATTTTCAGGCCACTCTGGTCCGGTCATGTGTTTGGATCCCCTGTGTCAGCCAGCAGCTGCTTCAGAGGAGGGAGTGTGGACAATGGAAGTCTATAAATGATGTCACTGCTCAGGAATTCCAGCCATTGTTGATCACTCTCCTCTCCCCTGCAGCCAATGCTGGCTGACACAGAGCAGATCAGAGCTACCAGAAACTAGGTAAGTATATAGATTCTTTCTTAGTTATATCCTGGAATTCTACTTTAAATGGAACCTATTTTCAGGCCACTCTGGTCCGGTCACATGATTGGTTTCCCTCTGTCAGCCAGCAGCTGCTTCAGAGGAGGGAGTGCCAACAATGGAAGTCTATAAATGACCTCAAAGCTTGGGAATTCCAGCCATTGTTGAGCACTCTCTCCTCTCCCTTGTAGCCAATGTTGGCTGACACAGAGGAGATTATGTGACCGGACCAGAGCTGCCTGAAACAAGGTAAATATATGCATTCTTTCTTCCACAGGATCGTTACTATAGGTGTTGGGAGGGGGGAGCAGTTTTAAGATTAGTTAGTTATATCCTGTAATTATACTTTAAATGGAATTTCAAGACAAATAAAGCTAAAAAGAAAAAATATAGCTCTGTAATGAGTCTTAACATGCACTGTAGTGCATATGCACAATGCACACCAATGGACCCCTTATGTGCACCTTAACATGGTGTAAATGGGCCCTTAAAGCAGAATAGACCAGCCATTGTTGTGATGTTTTCATTCAATCTCAATACTCCCCCTGCCACCAGATATCTTCAATCTGACAGCTAGCATCATTCAACCCACTTCTGCAGAACTGGACAGTGAAATAAAAAGCAGCACAGCAATGAGTTAATCTCTCTGTCACTGTTTTCTCCCCCTATCAGCATTCTCCTTGTCAGCACATGAATCAATTGGCTCCTTGTAACATTTTTCTCTTAAGCTCAAGAAGGTCAAATTCAGGTACTTTGACCGCTTGCTTTAAAATACATTTAATTATGAAGTAATTACATGGTTGCATTTTATATCTGCTTAAAATTCACCCCTCATAAAGATGACTCCATAGTGCTCATTAAAAAAAAGCCACATGGTATTGTTGGGGAAGACTCAGTGAATTGTAATAAGTACCTGTAAGTGTTAAACTTACACATTACTTCCACACATTCATTTAACAATAAAAAATTATATGCATTGCCAAGTACACTTTAACTGTTGAAATTATACATAGCATGTGCATGCATCACTCTCTGGCACGTTCCTCGCCATGTGTCGCATTGCTGCAACTCCTGTCTGCGCTTTGGCAGAACTGGTGCAGCCAGTCTGGGATAATGTTCTGCATTTCATAAATCTGTCACTGGCGGATGTAAGAACGATTATTCCCCCCCCAACATAAATCATAGATTTTGCCTTGAATCTACGTAAAATGTTCACATTTGGTTTCTCCTGAACAGCGAGTTAAGCATGCATCGGCTGCTGTGAATTGCAGCAAAACTACAGGTGTGCTTATACACTTGCAATGTTAGGAAACAATTTTGCGAGGCTCAGCAGCGGGAGGCCTTGTTCGCAGCCTTGTTTAGCGAGCTAGCGTACCACATTTGTCCCACAGATGAGTAAGCACATTTGGTACAGAGAGGTTACCAATTTAACGATGCCAATGTGGACAGTAAATAGCCCCAATGAACAGGAAGAGCAGGAATAAAATCACTACCTGTAGTGTGCTTTTAAACTCACTCTGCCATCGCTGATTACTGGAGCGAGCTGTAAGGCCTGTAATTATTACTTGGCAGGATTCCCAGCAAGGGAAAAAAAAAAGAAAAAAGGAAAAGCAGAAAAAAAGGTTGGGCATGCTATCCTCTGATTATGCGGCAAATCTAATTAGTTAATGTAATACTGTTACCCTACAGATACTGGAGTCAGATTTCTAGGAGGGAACACTTACTGAGCAATTTAAGAACTACTATGAGCTGACTTTTTTGTATGATTTTACTGTGCTAAAGGTCTCAATCAGTGTTTCCCACCTCTGGTCTTCAGAGAATGCTTACAGCACAGAACCATTTACATCTGGTATAGCCCCAATGGAGCTCAAGTTACATTGTCTCTATAAAACTAGTATTGCGTTTAAATGTCTGGACACAGTAAGCAGGGATGCAAGGTTCAGGCTAAAGCCAAGACTCGAGTCATCATTGCTCTGTAGTTCCCAGTCGGTCGTGTTCACCATCTGCTCAGGAAGTGCAATTATGGAAAGGGTCACGGCCAGAGCTCCTGTCTGTCCAGCCACCATCCTCAAGTATAGGATGGCTGAGATCATCAAGCTGGCTGGCAACACAGTCCACAGGACCACAACAATTAGAAGACCCGCATCGTCCCCTGACACCTCTAGCTGGCTGTTGTTAAGAAGCTCAACAAGCTGCTGGGTGGCATCATCATCGCCAATGGAGGAGTCCTGCCCAACACCCAGGCCAAGCTGTTGCTCAAGAAGACTGAAAGCAACAAGCCAACCAAGGCCAAGTAAACTAGATCTGTTCATTTAAAATACATGGCTAGATTTGTCTTATTCAGCCCATGTCAAGAACCAGAGAAAATCAACAGATTCCTCCATCTACTCCTAACAGCATTGATGGTGGAATCTGCACTACCACCTGCTGTATTCAAGCAGGTACATCATCGACAAAGGCTTGGTTACCTGAATAGTGACTACATCTGACTGGATACAGTCACTGTTCAGCTGATAATTTTCCACCCGCTTATTCAATTTTTCATTTGAGTTTTGTCGAGCCACAGCTTGCATCAAACACATATCAGCTGATCATGTTAGAAGTTTTTAGAAATCTTATTATATTTCTACAATTTTAGCTGAACATCCTTTTGTGATTCAGCCAAAACTGATTGAATTATGTGATAACTGTCTCATATCAATGGGTACTGGACCAAATATAGCATGTACACTGCTTGAGTATTTCATGCGAGCCATATGTGAACTGGATGCAGAGCTGGATAAAAGCATGCAATCTAGCTATTTAGCTGTTCATTGGTTTTTGTGTGTCAGATTATCTGTACTCTTATATATCCCCATTGCTGGACTTTAAATGCATTACATAACCTTTGCAAACTGCTTTATTTGTGATATTCTGAAGACAAACTTTGACTTCATATAAAAACAGAAATACTTACGTACGTTTGCAATTACTCTTGTGTAATAATTTGAACTTTCTGTAAGTGCAGGCAATTTCTTTAGAATCTATGCATTTTCTGCTAGCTTTCAGAGAACACAAGGGAATTTACTGGAATGCAACCTAGAGATGCAAATCAGTAACAGCTTACATAGTGTGACAAGCAAAACCAAAACAAAACGGATGTTCTTTTACTCATTACTAACAGCTGAAGCAATAAGCTTGTCCTTAAATTGTACCTGTATCAGGCAAGAAATATATAAAAAAAGAGGTGGATAGAGTGAACCATACAGTATGAGCCAGACTGTACCTTACTTGCCACAGTCAGCATGCTTGGAGCACCACTTGAGTCTCCAGGAGGTCGTGTGCAAACACTACCATTTTGAAAGTTAGCAGTAGCCTAGGTTTAGGAACACCCTCCCAAGTGAAGTGTTCAGGCTTTAGTATAGGACACTTAATCAGTGAAGTTTGACTCTTGTCATGCTGTTGTTAGGTTGACTGTGACAAACAAAGTACAGTCTGTCACCTTACAGTGCCTTGTATCCACCACTTATATTAGCCGGATCATTTTTTTGCCCTGAACAGTTGAACTTTAAGATTTGTAAAATTTACCAGTATTAGAATATAAAAAATGTACCATCCCACATTACACTATATCTGCCTTTCTCCATCAAAGCTCTGTGAAACCACAGATTTTCTCCACAGGGTGTTAGGGGTTCCTTGAGCAAATTCTGCCCCTTTGATAAGTTACCACTAACTCCAATGATCTTTTTTAGCTAAGGGTAGCATTCTTCCCACTGACCACCAGTGTACCTGGGCCTTTTATACTGACAATCAATGTAAAGGATTACTACAGCAGCATTTAAGGGGTTAATGCTGACCGTCAGTGTACGAAGGCTCTTTTCCACTAACCACCACTGTTAGAAAGTACTACACTTTTCATGGTCAACTTTTTTCTGGCAGTTATTATTTGTTCCATTTCATTGTTATATCTGAAAATAATTTGTTGCACAGGGAAACCCTAAATGTCAATTACACCAAGTATGTTACATTCATTATTCCATTATTCTTATAACCATTAGCTACTGTAATTTTAATATCCTATGAGCTGTAAATAAAATAATTATTAGCAGAAATTCCTAAGACCTGAAAGTTATTTCATGGGTTCCTTCATGCTCCATAAATTATCCAGTCTCTACAAGCAATGCACCAGATTTAAGCATCATTTGCCATGATTGAGGAGGACTGGACAGTGTAGAGGGCAAGAAACGTTTCTTGCATTTTCAGAATTGGTAGCTCTTTCATACAGAAATGAGATGATAGGAGCTTTAATCTGTTCTTGTTGCGGTAGGTAAAACTATTTCTGTGAACTAACATTTCATTTTCAGTCAGGACACAAATGTAAAAGACAAAACATCTGTCATTACATCCAAAATAATAAACGGAGGGCTATAAAAAGAATGGCTGCAAGTAGAATATAAAGAAGTGTATTTTAAGTCTAATGATTTTTCCTGTACCACTTTATAACAATGAAGAATTTCAGCAGTGTATTTTACTGACAAGAAATCCCTGATTGATGCAAAGTGCTTGGTTGGCCACGGAAAGCCATTACTAAGAAGCCTTTGATTAGGCCAACCTAGCATCTATCCTTACCAGCGTAAAAGATGGTGATTTAAGGTATATGACTTTGCTGGCATGCCTCAGAAGTAGAACATATCAGGAAGATGAGTGCACAGTCTGCAGGATTTTAGAAAGACAATCAATTTTTCAAGGGAGGTTTTATGCACAGAATCATTCATAGAACTCATAGCAGAAAACACAATTCAGACATAAGTATGTAAAGAGCAAAACTATTTGTCTTTTTTGCAAATGTAATCCAAAATAATGAATACAGAAATAAAACCTCATCAAACATACTGTAAATATGAGTGGAGCAGATGATAGCTACAGAGTTACAACACCGTCTACTGAATGCCCCATGTCTCTGAAAGGTGGTGTCCTGCAAAGGAGAGAATTTTACTAACAGGAGTATCTTCTGACTGTAACTTCCTATGGACAGGATTTAGATCCTTCGAGCCACTTCTCTCCTCATGTAGGTCTATAGCAGGGGTGTCCCAACACAAAATCGTAACCTTGCCTAAAAATATGAATTTTCTTTTGGAATTTGTTTGCAAAAATGCATGCAAACAAAGAATAATTTGACAGTGTCTATCTCTTTGCTGGAATCTTATAAGTTTTATCTTCCCAAAGAAAAATATCCCACTCTTCACAATCATGCCTTATTCATGTCATCAGTTTTCTGCAGCACCTATATTTGTGAGCATCTATTTTCAAGGATGAAGAACACAAAGTGCAAATACAGAACCAAAATATTTGATGAGCACCTTGAGAATTCATTGAGAATTGCTACTACATCCACCAAACCAGATATTGAGGCATTGTTTTATCAAAAACAGTGTCAAATATTGCACTAGTTTTATGTTGCCCTTTATTTTTATAATAAAAAATATTAAAAAAAAAAAAGAAGATCAGTGTATAACGTGCATTTTTCTATATCAGTGATCAAGTGATCTGCTTGACTTTTTCTGCTCATCAGCTATCCTTATTGTTAGTGTATTTTATGTGTGGCCCAAAACAATACCTCTACTTTCAATGTGGCCTAGGAAAGTCAAAAGGATGGACATCCTTGGGCTAGAGAAATGCAAAAAAGTTCAAAGCTGGTCAACTCCAGGTCAAAGCACCTAGCAATGAATTCAGAACTAACCCATCAGTGTCCCCAAAAAGCTGTATTTGCCAGCGGTGCAAAGACAAAGGCCATAGTCAAAGGATGAATCTTCACAAGGCATACATTTACTTTTAGTCCTTGAAGGAGAAAGCTTTACAAAATAGCGATAAAAATTTTTGATTAGCATTATTTTAACAAAAAATACAAATTTATACACTGTTTTCATTTTTCTACGAAATCTCTATTTTATAAAAAATATTTAATACAAGATGCTTTCTTGATAACTACCCAGAAAGCCTATCACTAGGTTTGTTTTTGAAAGGAAATCCAGCCCAGCACCATTTGTGCCAGAAAAAAAGGAAGGTGTCGTGTCCCTCCTGTGATCTATACAGCTGTGTGTATATGCTGACACCCTTTTATTTAGTTAAGAACAAAGACAAACAATAGAATAATAGTAAAAATCCTGGTGCATAGGTTCCCTAAATAAATAATACAATTTTTTTTAAATGCATAAAGATCATATGTATATTCCCTTTAAGATTGACTTGACTTAAATGACTAAATCTGGGATGAGGAGCTTGTAGTTTTGGGCATCTGGCTGCCTTAGGAGGCAGCAAAGACCTGCTTGATGAAAGCACCTTTACATGGTTTAAAGGACAGCTCAGCTTACACTACAACCCCTTCTAGTTTTCCTCCATAAAGTTCACACATTGTAAATACAGAACAAAATCCTATCCCAAATGTCTTGAAATGTCTACATATACAAATAGCACCCTCTCATAAAACATGCTGGTTGCACATTGTGAACTTTACAAGGAGTTCATACAGTATATCAGAGAAAAACATTTTCCTAAAGCATAATGTTATGCCATATTTGATATTTATGGTGCTCATTTTGGCTGCCCTGCTTCACACCTGACTGTGTTCTTTGTTGTGTTGCATTAGAGCCATAAAGATGACAGCGGCCTTGCTAGGGTGAGCTATATTATAGTGCTATAAAGCTGGCTGAAACCCGACACAGCATTTTTTTCACTTGCGTTTTCTGTAACAAGACAGAATAAAGCAGATTGGTGTGGACTGCATACTAAAGCAACTACTAGAAATAATGTTAGACACTATTATTATGATATCATAATGAGAGAAGGTGTGTTTCTTCAGTGGTTGTCCAATTGGGGTAAGTGTAACCCTGGGAGTACCGTAGCATGTCAATGGGTTTTTTCAGTATGGTGGATCATCAATCTGACTCCAAAGTTATGACATTACTAACAGTGGCACAACAAAAAACAAAGGGCGCACCATCATTGTGCATTACCTTTATAGAACCTTTTATTGAATAAATAGAATAGTTGTGTACTTACAAACAGAATATGGTATTAAACTCATCAATGTCCACAGTGTCCCGCATTGCCTGGTCCACTTCCAACATGGAGAAGACACTTCCAATGGCTGAAATGTTTTGAGGGTAGCTCTTCCTCAGAGCCCTGGGATTGGAGCAGTGTACCAGGAGATGTGGTGAACATTGATGAGCTTAATACCATAAACTGCTTGTGAGTACACAACTGTTCTATTTCTTTAATAAAAGGTTCTATAAAGGTAATGCAGAAGGCTGGTATGCTCTCTGTTTTTTTTGTTGTTC